CTTAACCAACTGAGCCACCCAGGCGCCCGGTCTTCCTCTTTTTAAAGTCTCTTGTAAATGACTTCCTATTCATCAAAGACCGTGATGGAACCAAAACAGACAAAAGAAACTGCTAATTCAGAGAATGTTGGTCCTGAAATAAACCTCAGAGTAGCCTACCGTTTTTAACCCTTCAACTTTTTCATCAATGTTATTACAGTTATTTTGCCTTTCTACAACAGCCCCCACACCTGGGGTAATAGAGAGTAAAAAGGTAAAGAAAGAAAGAAAGGGAACAGTGTTTCCAGTTAGACAAGTCTCTAGTTAGACTAAGCAAGAGGCAAAACAAGTGCTCTGGAATAATCTGCACTCTGCACAGAAATTACAAAGTCTCCAAGCCAAGCCCTTCTTTAGTATCTAGTATATGAACACAGTCAGTTTAACAGCCCAAGGGAGCTGAAGGGTGCTGAAGAATGACCACAACCAAGACAGAGAAACCTGCAAAATCCACAGCCCCCGGACAGCAACCTGCATCTATCAGTGATTATTTCAGGGACATTTTTTCATTAAGGATTTAAATGCCTACTCATCATCCAAATAAAGTAAAGCAAATAATGGCATGCGTTCTTTCAAGTTTAACCCTAAGATCAAGCACTAGGAATATTTCATCAAACAGCTTCTATATTATCAGTAAGACTCAACAATTCAAACACCTTTTAAAAATGTAGAAAGTGGGTTACTGTGCTAATTCACCAAACACCAGAAATATCTGGGTGAACGGTAGGGATACAGAAAACTCACCTTTTATCTCTTTCATGTTCATGCTTTTGAGAGCTTTTCCTGCTTCTAGAAGGTTTTTGAACTGGACAAAAGCAAAACCACGCATCTTTCCATCTGTGTGCAAATGTACAAAGAAGTTAGAGGCAGCAGGTGGGGAGCCAAAGAACACCAAGAAGGACATTACAGCAACCTGGGCTGGCAGGATGACCCAAGCCCTGCCAACCAGTCAGCGCCTTGCCCAAAGCAACAGCTTTTGTCCTCCTGCTGAGGATACCCTGATTCAAGCTTGGGGAGAGCAAATGCATTTTCTCAAACTATAACTTGTCTTCTAAAACTAGTTCTGAGATCTAACTAAAAATGCCATTGGGGGAATAAGTACTATTTTTGAGTTTTTGTTATGTGTCAAGCACTGTGCCTGATACTTTATATAATAATCATATCATCTGGGGCTCACAAAGAGTATGACATGAACCTTGTATTTCTATTTGTTTAAAAGATTTTATTTGAGAGAGAGGGAGTGCATGCACAGTTGGAGGGAGGGACAGAGGGAGAGGGACAAGCAGACTCCGCGCTGAGTGTGAGCCCCACGGCGGGGCTGGATCCCACAACCTTAAGATCATGACCTGAGCTGAAATCAAGAGTCAGATGTTCAACCAACTGATCCACCCAGGTGCCCCTGTATTTTTATTTCAAATATCGGTTAGTTCAAGGATGAAATGGAAAAACACCATTATGTTAAATAATCTTAATCTAATCCACAACAAATGAAGGTTTGCTAGTACCTGGCTTCCGGGGGATGTTTACTTCCAGGACAGCTCCATATTGAGCAAATACTGTCTTCAAGTCATCTTCTGAACACTGATGCCAAACGTGAAAAGATATTATCACAGAAAATAAACATGAAACATCAACCATTAAATTAGTTCATTACAAAGAACTTGAATACTTTCACTCCTTTTTTACTTTTGAGACTAGGACATCAAACATTTCTAAACAGAAGACATCTTGCTTTGGATCAAAGAAGACAGACATCAAAGAGCTCTTCCTCCCCTCCCTATCCCAGCAGTAGTGTCCCAAAAGAAAGGCATCTTCACACTTACTATTCTTAATTAATTGTTTATACAGGCCCATTGTCTGTATTCAACAAGGCTAAGATTCATGCCCAGAAGGAATTATGTCCAATTATACCATCCTGGTGAGGAGCTCCACCAAAGAGTACCAACAGCCTTAAGAGCGGGTCGTGTTAGTGTTCTCTGTCACTCACCTTAAAGCTCAGGTTCCGAATAATTAATCTGGCTTTCTTATCTGCCACTTTGGGTTTTTTAGGCTTCAGTTCCTTCTTTGGGGGTTCTGAATTTTCTAAAAAATAAGAGGCAACAAAATAAGTCTGTGATCCAGCCTCTAGGCCCAGAACATCACAGGAAAGAAGCTACTAGCAAAAAAAGGCATTTCTCACAGGGGTAAGTATGACAACACCCAGAACCACCAGATTTCCAAAGTTAGAATTAAATAAAAGACAAAAATGAGTAATAAAATACATTAGATGATTTTGGACATCAAAAGGAAATTTAAGGAAGTTTTAAATTTAGAAGCTATCCCCTATCCTCCCTCCCCCTCCTCCCCTTCCTCACTCTGAGGGAAAACTCCCTACTAGAAACTCACCATTTTCCCCCTTTTCCTTGGACTTGTTCCTCTGTTTTTTCTTGGCAATAGTCACGTTGATCTTACAGCCTTCAAAGGTGGTAATCTCCTTGAGGGCCCTCTGAACATCTTCCAGCATAGAAAAAGTGACATAGCCAAAGCCTCGACATGCCTTACTCCCTGAACAGTGAAGGATGAGGGGGAGAACTGTAAGCCAAGAGCCCTAAAACAGTAAACTCTCTCTTTAAAAAAAAAAAAAAATCAAACAGTAAATTCTCAAAGTCCTAACTAGCAGATATACTGCCAGACCATCCTATTATCAGTTTGCCAAAATTCTCAGGAGGGATACAAACAAAGTTGGCATCAGTGGCCCCTTCCCCACTTTGCTCAGAAATTGTTAGGCTTCCTCTTCTAATTTGGTGTCTTCACTGTTAGTGCCTCTTCTTCCTCCTTTCCTGATAATCTTGAGAATATGGAGGATCCATGATACCCATTATATCCCCAAAGAAGAATTCAACATCAAATAGAATGGAACATCACCAGAGAAGGTGGGAAAGGTAAGTATGGTAGCTTTGAAAACTGCAACGCAATAATGCAGCAGATCAGAAATGAATGCCTGAGGTCCTGACAAAAGAACCTCAATAAACAATAAATACTGCTTCGGGAGCCTGCAGATACTATTACCATTATTACCAAACCTTAGCAATCAATATCAAGCTTAACCTTTACAAAGCTGTAAATCTCTTACCTCACTTTCATCTTCAGAACACACTAAGGTAGATAAAGTGAATATTATCATCCTTTCTTTCCAAATGAATAATTTGAGACGGAGGAAAGTAAGTGAACTGGTTAATGCACCAGGTGTTTGTAGCTGAATTAATTCCTCATTACTAGCCCCATGTTCTTTCCATGGGACTCCACCAATATAAAGGCCACAGAGAAGAATATTAGGACCAAGCAGATGAATAGTTGCAAATAAAAACTATAACTCACCTTTGCCCTTTTTGGTATGCTTTTTTTGATTTAACATTTTTGTGTAGTAAAATGTTTAAGTCATTTACTGCATCAAAAAGGAAAAGACCAGGTAGTCTGCCTACTACCCAAAGAAGAAATAGAGCTCACATGCTCTGCTTCTTTTTCAACTACCCTCGAACCTACTTCAGGGTACAAGCCCTCAAACACATGACGCTGATCCACATAAGTGGTTAAAGCTGAAACTTTGCACTATGAAGGCATACTGTGATCTGGAGATCAAGGTTTTTCTCGGGACTCCTCACAAAAGCCTGCCCACTCACAGTCAGAAATCAGAACAAGAAAAGTCCGGGCCCTTCCTGATCAGTACAACCAAACACAAAGCAGTTGAAACGTGAAGGGGGCGGGGTGGGGCCTGGGTGGCTCAGTTGGTTAAGCATCTGCCTTCAGCTCAGGTCATGATCCCCGGGTCCTGGGATCGAGCCCCCACATCGGGCTCCCTGCTCCGCAGGAAGCCTGCTTCTCCCTCTCCCACTCCCCCTGCTTGGGTTCCCTCTCTCGCTGTGTCTCTCTCTGTCAAATAAATAAATAAATAAAATCTTAGAAAGAAAGAAAGGAAGGAAGGAAGGGAGAGAGAGAGAGAAAGAAAGAAACAAACAAACAAACATGAAGGGGTTCAGCACCAAAATAAAAGCATGTACTCACAACAAATGCCATTCACTGTTTGTCTGCACAAAGCACTCTCATTTTACTTGAATCCTCACAACATCCTGCGAAATTGTCCCCATCTTCGAGAGGTAGAGTCACCACTACTAAGACCTCATCCCACATCCCCTCCCTCCTTCCCATCCCAGTAAGTGCAACACTCTTTCCAACACATCCTGACTATCTGAAAAGAAAAGTGTATAGTCTTTCAAAAAGGGAATAGAGTTGTTTTTGTTTTGCGGGTTTTGTGTTTTTTTTTTTTTTTTTTTTTTAGATTTAGACCACATACATAGGATACAAGGTAAGATTACACCTCAGCTATATTCTGAGGACCCAAAAGAGAATTCCCATTCAGTGCCTGTTCCTCCCTGGAAGAGAAGCATCGAGCACTGGACAGTAGTGTTTCTCAAAGTGTTTTGACGACCCACAGTAATGAATGTAACTTATAGTAGAACCCAATACACATATATATTCTCTATATAAAACCAAAGGGGTGCCTGGCTGGCTCAGTCAGTACAGCAAGCGATTCTTGATCTTAGGGTTATAAATTTGAGCCGCACACTGGGTGTACAGGTTATTTAAAAATAAAATCTTTAGGGATGCCTGGGGAGCTCAGGAGTTAAGCATCTGCCTTCAGCTCAGGTCATGATCCCAGGGATCAGTCCCGCATCAGGCTCCTTGCTCTGCAGGGAAGCTGCTTCTCCCTCTGCCTGCCGCTCCCCCTGCTCATGCTCTCTCTCTCTCTCTCTGACAATAAAATCTTTAAAAAAATTTAAACAAATAAAAATAAGATAAAATATTTTAAAATTATAAATATTAACCCTTTACCACATATACATATACTTTGTTTAAAAAATTCTTGTCATGACCCACTCAAAACCCACTAACGCATAATGATCTGCAGTTTAAGAAACACGGCTGTACAGGACTCTCATTCTTCACTCACCCACATCTCCACTTAAAATGGCAAAGAACCAGGCTGGTGTCATGGCTTGCATAGCAATCAGAGCCATGTGGACAATCCCAACTCTGGCCTCCGTTATTAACAAAATACAAGCTAATGATGGAGGGATTATTAGCACAGTTAGCCTGTCTACTCACATACTCAGATACCATGGGGGGAAATGGGGGTCCACAAGATGCCAGTTCCCACCAGTTGTTCTGCTGAAAGGCAAAGAAGTGGCCACCTACAGAGACAGCCTGATGACTTAGAAGGGAGCTAAATATAACATCAGGTGCCTATCTTGAGTGTCCTTGAAGTCTAGGTAAGAGGAAGGAATGCTTCTCTACAATTAAAACCCTTACAATTCTTTCTCACTGCAATACATGCCAACCCTTTCTCATAGTGATGCAATGAGCATCACACAGAATATGAGGCATATAGCAGTATTACACAAGTAAACATCCCCAGTGGCTCAAGCCAAAAGCCTTGGGAATCAGACTTGACTCCTCTTTTTCTCATACCCTGCATCTGATCCATCAAATCCTCTCGGTTCTATCTTCAAAAATATCCATATTCCAATCACTTTTTACCACCTCCACTGCTACCATCCTGGTCCAACACCATAATTTCTCACCTGGATTATTGCAGAAGCCTACTATTTGGTCTCCCTGCTTCTGTCCTATTCTCCAACGGCAGCCTCGGAGTATCTTTTAAAAATGTAAGCCAGATCATACTTACTGCTCCCTATTCAAAACCAGTAGTTTCTCATCTCAGAATAAAAGCCAAAGTCTTTGCAATGGCCTTTAGGTCCTCCATGATCTGGTACCCTAGAATCTCACTTCCTAATTCTCTTACCTTCACTCACTTACCCTGGTCACCCTGTTCTCCCTGCTATTCCTTCAGTATACCAATAGTCCTCTTCAGTGTTCCTGAGCTTGCTGTTTCCTCTGCCTAGCCTCCTCCTCCTGGAGAGAAACATGTTCACTCCTTCACCTCAGTCAGGCCTTCCCTGGCTACTCTATCTATAGGTAACTGCCATTCCTCGCTCCTCTACAACCCCCACCCCCACACTCACTCACAGAGACTCCTTATCCTTCTTCCTGACTTATTTTTCTCCTTAGTATTTACCACCATAATCGCTATATATCTTGCTTGTTTACTGGCTGTCTTCCCCATCTTGAAGATTTAAGAGCAAGTTTTTTGGCTTGGTTTGGTTTGGTGCACTCACTGCTGCATCCTCAGGACCTACAACAGTGCCTAGCACATAGCAGGCATTCAAAAACTATTTGAGTGAATAAATGAGTAAATGAGTAACATACTGGTTAGGAGCTCCGGGTGATCAAATTCTGTCTGGATCCGCTACTTACAAGCTGTACGAACTTCAACTGAAGTTACCAAATTTTCCCTAAGCTCCAGATTACTGTCTGTAAAATGGGGTTGAGACTCTCCACCCAACAAGACTGTTGAGAAAACTAAATGAGATTAACACGTGCGGAATTCAGCACCGTGCCTGGCAATCGGTTGACTCTCAATAAGCCTTACTGATGTTTTATTAAATGTTAACTGTATTAAATATTAAATGTTAACATTGTTACCAAATAAGATCTTGTATGTGAGCGCGCGTAGTAAACGGAAAGTAAACGCTATGTAACCCTGAGGCAATGCCTTGCCTTTCAGAAATGGACCCGTATGGACTCAGAGGGGTCATCCAGAACCGAGCCGGTTTAGAAAAGAAACTCAATTCCCAGCCCCTTCTCCTAGGAGCGGGTACAGAATTATCTGGCTTGGGGCGCCTGGGTGGCTCAGTCGTTAGGCGTCTGCCTTCGGCTCAGGTCATGATCCCATGCTTCTGGGATCGGGCCCCCTGCTCCGCGGGAAGCCTGTTTCTCCCTCTCCCACTCCCCCTGCTTGGGTTCCCTCTCTCGCTGTGTCTCTCTCTGTCAAATAAATAAAATCTTTAAAAAAAAAAAAAAAAAGAAAGAATTATCTGGCTTGCTGAAGTCTGGGAGGGTGTCCTCGCTCGGATCCCGCTCCCGGGTACCCCAGCCCTATCCTCGACAGCCCCGCCCCCTACCTTTCTCAGTCACCACGAAGCACTGCTTCACCGGCCCCACCTGACTGAACAGCTCCTCCAGCTGCTCACTGCGGGCCGAGGGCGGGAGGCGGCCCACAAATAGGGTCAGCCCGGCCATGAGGCTGGGAAACCGAGGCGCGCGAGACCGCGACGGAACCAGGCCCGCGCACGCGAGGCAAGGACGTGGCTTTGGCACGCCAACCACGCCAAGGGGCCCGGAGATTCCGGAAGTGCTCGTCACTCAAAAGAGTCCGGAGGAAAACATGGTGGGGAGGGGGGGAAAGCGTTCCGGAATGGGGGGGGGGGGGAGGTCATGCCTGGGGGCGGAGCTTCTTGAGCGGGGCTCCACCCCTAATCCCGGTACTGCTCCTCCGGTCCCCTTCGCCCCTGGGCCACTGTAGGAAACTGGCATCTCTAGCTCCTACCCAGATTAAAATCTCACTTCCAGGAGATGATCCTAATGTGCCACGGCAGGCAGAGGAAGTCGTTTTTTGCTCGGGGTCTCACCCAGGATCTGACACGTACTGGATATTTAATGAATACTTTCTTCGGTGCCACCACACGCAGTTTACGTGTATAAAATGCAACCAGAATGCACATAGATGCATACATCACAAACATCATTTGAAGAATTCTCATATTTCAGAGAATATGAGACATCTGTCACACTCTAATAGATAACTATAACCGCGCCTGTAACAGAGGACAAATTACAGCTACTTTTAAAGCACACACAGACACGTATCGTACACAATCATTCTTTCAATAAATATTTACTGAGCGCCTACTATGTACCAGACACTAGAGATAAAATTGGTGAGCTAAAACAAGAGTCCCTACTCTCATGGAGAATGAAGTGTAGTGGGGGTAGACAGACATTAATTTTAAAAACTTACAAATAAATCATAACATGCACACTACAGGACAACAGAACACACCCAAAGCAAACATAACATACACACAGACCCAGAATGCAGGTCCTCCCAGAGACAGGAGAAAACCTTCCCTCAGGTCAGCTTATCAGACAGACCCATGACTGAGGGATCTCAGCCACCAGCAGGAGATGTGGGTGCTCCGGGAACCTGGAAAGCAGAGACTATTTGCCATTCCACTGGGTTCAGGAACTGACCTGTGTGCAAGACTGCAGCACCCTGCAGGGGTTTCAGCTGAGAAAAGTTCTCAGTGCACTTTTTAAATAATAACTTCTCAATGGTATAACCTGAAAATTCAAGGAGTACAAAAGGTACAGTGAAAAGTAAGTTTCCGTTTCTCTTCAAACCCCATTTGCTTTCGATACATTTTGGACAGATGGGATGACTGGTTGATAGTAATGGGGGGGAAGGGGAGAACACTTAACATCAGATTTATGAAGCCCTAGCTCCATGTAAATAACGTATGCTCAAAAGAAAATGCCAGTTATTTTTACACACATAACTCAGGAGAGGAAGTACTGAAATACAAAACAGATTTTTAAGGCTATGGGCTTAATCCTATCCAGGATAAACAGAGACAAGTAGACAAAGGAAATGGGATGGGTCATTTGAATAAAGTCGGTTTGGGATTCCACATTCCTCCCTCCTTTCTTCTCCTCCTCTCCTGCACCCTCGCCACTTTAGAAATCAGAATTCTATCCCCAAAGACTTAACTGCAAGCTTCGGGGCCCTAGCTATAGGGAGGGCTTCCCAGTGCTGGTTGCAGTGTATACAGGGAAAAGAACCCTAAGAAGGCTGTTCCAACAACCCTTTGGGATGTCCCTCCAATGCTGTTTAAAATACTTCGCCCTCGGGCGCCTGGGTGGTTCCGTCGTTAAGCGTCTGCCTTCGGCTCAGGTCATGATCCCATGCTTCTGGGATCGGGCCCCCTGCTCCGCGGGAAGTCTGTTTCTCCCTCTCCCACTCCCCCTGCTTGGGTTCCCTCTCTCGCTGTGTCTCTCTCTGTCAAATAAATAAAATCTTTAAAAAAAAAAAAAAAAAGAAAGAATTATCTGGCTTGCTGAAGTCTGGGAGGGTGTCCTCGCTCGGATCCCGCTCCCGGGTACCCCAGCCCTATCCTCGACAGCCCCGCCCCCTACCTTTCTCAGTCACCACGAAGCACTGCTTCACCGGCCCCACCTGACTGAACAGCTCCTCCAGCTGCTCACTGCGGGCCGAGGGCGGGAGGCGGCCCACAAATAGGGTCAGCCCGGCCATGAGGCTGGGAAACCGAGGCGCGCGAGACCGCGACGGAACCAGGCCCGCGCACGCGAGGCAAGGACGTGGCTTTGGCACGCCAACCACGCCAAGGGGCCCGGAGATTCCGGAAGTGCTCGTCACTCAAAAGAGTCCGGAGGAAAACATGGTGGGGAGGGCTATCTTGAGTGTCCTTGAAGTCTAGGTAAGAGGAAGGAATGCT